GAGTTGAACAGATGCCTTAAGGTTTCGATTTATCAGCAAGCCCAAAGAACTTGTACAATGAGGCTTTGCGGCTGTCAGGGACGAGTTTTGTTCAGTTTTCCTTATAATTTCTTTTTGCTTTTTTTTGCTTCACTGGGGACTCACTTATCGGCTACTGGGTATGAAAGAACATCCACTAAATCATAATACATTATCTGACTAAGTTCTGGAAGCACTACAGACTGAGCGCTTCCCCCTTAAAGGCAGTCCCCAAGCTCGAGCAATTCGTGGGCGTCTTTCCTTGTTTGGGTAGTCTAGTCCTCAGTCTTTGAGACTGTCCCACAGCTGCCTCACAGTAATGAAGCCGCTACGACCCTCATAAGTGGCAGCTCTGACGCCCACTTAGTTGTCCCGTCCACCAAAACCCAATGGCTGCTTTCCGCCACAATTTTAGTTCTTACATAGTGTTTTCCGTCTTTTTTTTGTTGATGGATCAGCCTTGGATTACACTAAGAAACGATTAGCGAGAGCCAGATGATGGCCCGAACAACTCATACGGTGGCTGCCAGGGGTCCTTACTAAGCGTGCTCTTTTTTTGTTGCTTTCTTCTTTTCTTCAAAGTCACTTAGCGACCATAGGTTCGTTATTGAACGCCACTATCTACAATACGTAATTGCGAGGTTTGCCTGATCTGTCAAACTCCTGCGCTCGATAGCATACCTGACAAATGCCTCTTGCAGACTCGTTGGAACCCGGTACAGCCCGTTAGAAGGCTGCGTTTATACTTTGCGGCAGCGTAGCGTAGCGTAGCGCTTCCAGCGTACGCCAGCGGCAGTGCCGAAGAGAGGATGCATATCGATCTAGCTTCACCAGCGTCACCAGCGGCACGCTAGCGTACGCCAGCGTTTCTCCAGCGTTTCACCAGCGTTTTGCTAGCGCTTGCAGCGGCAGGGGAGTAGAGACTATGGGAGAGCTGGAGGGTACAAAACTCATCGATTGCGCGTCTCCCACTCGCCCTTAGTCTCTACAATGCACATCGCTTCTGCGTCTCCGACGGCCCCATAGTCTCTACGATGCACATTGCTTCTGCGTCTCCGACGCCACATAGTCTCTACAATGCAATGCGCTTCCTGCGTCTTCGACGGCCATATGGTCTCTACAATACACGTCGATTCCGCTTCTCTCACGGCCACATAGTCTCTACTCCCCTGCCGCTGCAAGCGCTAGCAAAACGCTGGTGAAACGCTGGAGAAACGCTGGCGTAACGCTAGCGTACGCCGGCCAGCGTGCCGCTGGTGACGCTGGTGAAGCTAGATCGATATGCATCCTCTCTTCGGCACTGCCGCTGGCGTACGCTGGAAGCGCTACGCTACGCTGCGCTACGCTGCTAGCGCTACGCTGCGCAGAAGTATAAAACGTCAGGCCTTAGAATTTTAGAAGCCGCCCACTGTTCACGTAGAAGACGGCCTTATATAGCAGCGCCCATTTCCTTTCTCTTATGGCAAAGCATTAGTCGGGGGTGATCTTGTTACAAACGCATGCGAGGAGGAATAGCCCGTCAACATTAAATAAACCTACAAAACTACAGAACATTCATCTCACAAGGGAGTGAGGTATATCATTCATTTTTTAGAACTCTATAACAAATAGCAAACGTACAGAATATCCTAAAACTCACTCTTTGCATGAGGCACATGACAAACAGAAAAAAGAATGCAAAAATGACTGCGTTCAAGGCAGATTAGACTGGTCTACTTCGGGGATAGAACCTGCTTCATTCTGTTCAAGGCAGATCCTGCTTTGAACCATTCTATTTGTTGTTCGTTGAAAGTGTGATTGAGTGAAATCTCAACCTATAAAGGAGTAATACTTTAGTGATGGGCTATATGCTGGAAATGGGAGGAGGTGGCTTCTCAACAAACCTTGGAGCCGTTTGGCTTTTTGATTATGGCCTTCAGCGGTTTGCCAGGTGCAAAGTCCTTCAGACCAACGATCGACACCTTATCACCAGAGTCAATCTTGTCATAGTCAGCAGGATTTGCGAATGTCAATGGGAGCATTCCTTGTTTCTTCAAATTCGTCTCTACAAAACCACATATTATAACTCTGACGTTATAGGGAAGACTTCATTGAAGATAGTAGCGCGTGGATCTAGCAAAGGATTTGCGTGATACTTATAGGCTCTTCCTCGCTAGATTCGGCGTTTTCAAGAGCAGCAATGTTCACGACACTTGATCCCTTCACCGTAGTTCTCATCTCCAATCGCTACCCAACTCGCTCCATGTGCCTTGTAATAGCGAGCAGTTTCCGGGACGGTGCCAAATGAATCCGTAAGATGATTGCGGACCTAAGCAACAAAAGCTCGAAGAAGTTTAAATAACAAGAACTGATTCGAAGACAATTACCGCGATCAAGTGTAATGGGTAGTAGGTGCACAATCATGAGCCAGCAGCCCATAAGTAACTCTCCAGTAGAGAAATAAGTGAAAAAAAAAACCCTGGGAACACTCTTGATTGATCCCCCTAGCAAGATGCAATAGCAGCTGACATATTGGACGAGTTTGTCGGACGATAAACAAGTAGTCAGTCAGCCCAGTCAGCATGATTCGACGTGCAACCGATTCAAGGCAAGAGCAGATATCACCCTACGACGCTCCAGGCAACGCTATGTACACACGCAATTCCGCTTGTAAGCCGTTGTCTTGCAGAGTGAAAGTAATCGTGGTTGCAATGGTTGCAATAATCACGCGTCTCTAGCTTCTTTATCTCGCCGTTTCGAGTGACGAAAGTGGTATATTCTCTGCGAATGCGGACAACGATGCCAAATGCACGGAGGCATTCCGCGGACCACTTGATCGCGGGAGATGTCTTTAAGGGGCTTCAGAAACTGAAAGTTTACCTTGTTCATTTCTCCATTTTCGGCGTTCACGGCTGTTAGGAATAAGTTGTTGGAAATGTTATCAAGGTGACCTCGGTATTTCAGCCATGGTCCAGCAGCCGAAATGTGGTCAGTCGTGCATTTTCCTTTAACTTTGATGAGAATAATCATGTCCTCCAAATCTTTGCCGTCCCACTTGTCAAATGGTTGGAGGAGTTGTAAACGCTCTGATTTGGGATCGACAACAACCTGGAAAATTGAAATTATTTGAAAAGAAATTTGAAGAACAGGGATTTATGGTCACCTCTCCGGACTGTGATGGCTGTTGGTAGGTATCCACGCCAGGATCGTACCCTTTCTGAGGGAGATCATCTCCCGATGGAGCCTTCAGCACGAATTTCGAGCCTGAACATGACACAGTACCTTCAGAGTGAATGCTCGAGAATTAAAGCAAAAAGTCAGCAGACTCACCATCCGCCGCAGTAATCTGGTCTTTTCGAGGATCAAAATCGAGCCGACCAGTAATGGCGAGTGCAGTCACAATGTCGGGAGAAGTAACGAAGCCATGTGTAGCAGGATTTGCGTCGTTTCTTCCGGTAAAATTTCGGTTGTAAGAAGTGACAATGGTGTTCTTCTCACCCTTCTTCACATCTTGGCGATCCCACTGTCCTATAAATATTTGGCGTACTATCATGAATTCCGCTGCTATAAAAGAAAGCCGCTCAAAGAAGTATGCCTCAGTTACTTCAACAAGTATATTTTTGATTTTTAACGAAAATTTTCACCTACTTACAAACTGCTGCATGAATTCTATAGGCAGTTGGCAGGATAATTTGGAACTTTGTCTGAAATGGTAGCAGGGGTGCTAAATAGTTGGAAAGTGACGGAAAAGATTTGTGAACCAAAACTTGCAAGAAAGCTTTGTTCTACACAACTCAGAGAGCAATTTTGGACGAGTTCCCCGTTGGCATCGTGCCAATAACCGCTACGGTAGATACGGCTGCACGTATGTACTCATATATGCAGCATCGCAGCCGCTTCATATCAATCCCTTCGCTTCATACTGTACTTTGCAAATGAAGTGATAGGACATTAGGGTTGGTCGGACATTTGTGGGCGGGCTAGGGCGCTATTCGGGTACCTTCCTTGCAGAAGGCGTCACACAGCACTTGCTCAGGGGCGCCGAGTTCAGTTCTCTCAGCCGTCTTATTCCTACACGGTCTTGGGCTTATCCTACACGTCTTGGAGATTTACCGTGTCAAGTGCCCTTCAATGACTTTTGAGAGCCCCCGCGTTCTCATTAACATTGACAGTTCTTTGTCGATGGTCACCTCGTGTTTATCAGCAAATCAATCGATTAGAGAGAAAATAAACAAACACAGATCATTTGGCGAACACAAAGTGTTTCTACAGACAGCTGTTTTCAACCTAGTGATGATAATAAACTTGAATGAAGTAGATGACTGATCAACATCAGCTGCTTGTGACCCACAAAAAACGTGGGGGTGTGAATATGTATCACTTCAAACGTTTGAGACAAGTTCTGTGCCAAACACTTTCTTGAAAAGATTAATGCGCAGCATCTCAGAGCTTGACCGTTTTCCATCAGCTGACCTTATAGTACTGTTGAAATAAAGTCGACTGGTGCCTCGAGTACACAGTGAATGCGGGGCTTCTAATGGGTTGGCGGAAGATCATGAAATTGTACCCGCGCTTTTTCCAGAAGCCCGATGAATAAAGTCTTGAGCATCAAGAACCCATCGATGCTTGCTTATATTTCGTCTGGGAAAAGCGCTTGAGCAGTTCCCTGCCCAGGGCACATCATTAGTTGGAAATTTTGGTCGAGTCCTTACGACCCCCCCGCACTTAAAAGCTACAATCACCCTCCTACCGATCCTATCCAGCTGTTGAGCGGGTTTTATGACACAACTGAAACAGGAAAAACCGCGAGGAAAATACGAACTCCTCACTTTCCCATCTTACCTATTACTTTTCAAGATTTTTCCAACTTCCTACCAGTTTTTTCGGAATTCCCCGGAGGTTTTCCTAGTTATTTCCAAAGATTTTCTGTCAAGCAGGACGGGGAGGGTGGTATGTAATACATATAGAACAGGGAACCACGAAAAGTCAACAACCACTTTCAGAAGGCCAGAAGGCCAAATACGATCCCCTCTATTATAGCGTCCCTGAAACAAGAAAATCAACTATCGAAAAGAACTTTCCCAGACTAAATACGACTCCCCCTCTGCCCCTCAGCGACCAAATACGAATCTCCTGTTGGAGATCCCCAACGATGATGTGCCCTGTTCCCACCAACTTG